TAGATGAAAACCCCTCCATAAGCCAACGATAATAACCCGCTAAACCCAAGAAACTTCGGATCTCTATAGCTGATATGGGTCTAGGCCAGTCCTTGACTGCCTCAATCTTCTTAGGATCCACCTAAATACCCTCTGCTTATACGACGTGACCCAGAAATGCTACTGAACTCAACCAAAATTCACATTTTGAAAACTTAGCATACAACTGGTTGTCTCTCAAAGTCTGAAGAACAACTCGAAGGTGTTGCTCATGCTCCTCCCCGTTGCGGGAGTAGATCAAAATATTATCAATGAAAACAATCACAAAGGAATCGAGATAAGGCTTGAACACCCGGTTCATCATATCCATAAAAGCTGCTATGGCATTTATCAACCTAAATGACATCTTAAGAAACTCATAATGCCTGTAGCGGGTACGAAAAGCTGTCTTAGGGACACCGGATGCCCTAATCCTCAACTGATGGTAGCTAGATCTCAAATCAATCTTCAAAAATACCTTGGCACCTTGAAGCTGATCAACCAAATCATCAATCCTCGATAATGGGCACTTGTTCTTGATGGTGACTTTGTTCAACTGCCGATAATCTATGCACATCCTCATCGATCCATCCTTCTTCTTAACAAACAATGCTAGTGCACCCCAAGGCGAGACACTAGGTCTAATAAAGCCCTTATCAAGCAGGTCTTCCAACTATTCTTTCAATTCTTTCAACTCTAGCGGGGCCATATGATATGGCAGAATAGAAATGTGCTGAGTACCCGGAGCCAAATCAATGCAAAAGTCAATATCCTTGTCTGGTGGCATCCCCGGTAGATCTGAAGGAAATACCTCAGGAAACTCCCGAACAACTGGCACAGAATCCATAGAAGGAACCTCGGCACCAGAATCGTGGACATAAGCCAAATAAGCCAAACACCCCTTCTCGACCATACGTCGAGGCTTCATATAAGAGATAAACCTGCTGGTAGAATAACCAGGAGTCCCCCTCCACTCCAATCGAGGCAACCCTGGCAATGCTAAGGTCACGGTCTTGGCGTGACAATCCAATATGGCATGCTAAGGTGATAACCAATCCATCCCCAAAATAACATCGAAGTAAACTATATCGAGAAGTAGGAGATCTACACTAGTCTCAAGACCCCCAATAACAATTACACATGAACGATAGACACGATCTACCACAATAGAATCACCAACCGGTGTGGACACATATATGGGAGCACTCAAAGAATCATGAGGCACAACCAAATAGGACTGAAGCATCTCTACTACAAACCAGAATGGTACATATGATAACTGCATCGGAGGACTCAGCCTCAGGCCTAGCTGGGAAAGCATAACATTGGGGTTGGGCCCTACCCCTCTGAACTACATCCCAGGGACGGCCTCCTGCTAGTTATCCTCCGCCTCTAGCTGCCTGACCTCTACCTCTAACGGCATGCCCTCCACCTCTAATACCTCGGCTGCTATCTTTAGCTGGCTGAGCAGGCAGTGGAACACCCGGTGCTGGAACTATGGCACGAGAACCGCGATGCTGAGAACTGCTCGAGGCTCAATGGCAAAATCTAGCAATATGGCTCGTATCGCCACAAGTATAACAAGACTTCGGCTGCTGAGACTGCTGACCTTGAAACTGACCTTGACGGGCTGAGTAACCACCTTGAAAACCCTGACGAAACCGTAATAAAACTCCACCCAGAACTGGTGTCACAACTCACTAACGGTCTATGAATACTACAACAATGGTGTGAACAAAGAAATGTACATCTGTTTCGAAAGTAGATAAATAGAAAAGAAATATGATAGAAGGGGACACCAAGGTTTGTGGACGCTTGTAGGACTACCTTGGGTCTCCATTGGATTGAAGGCAGCCACCCAACTCTACTCACATGGTCCGACACCGAGATATACACAAAAAAGTGCAGAGTACAGTATCAGTACAAGACACCATGTACTGATAAGTGTCGAGCCTAACCTCGACGAAATAGTAACGAGGCTAGGACACGACAAACATCATGAACCTGTGCAGTTAATTAGTATAATAACAGAATAACAACTAATAAAAACTAAGCATAAATGAGTGGGAAGGGGAAAATACTATGAGGAGTATCAACACAAAGAATTACAGCAGTAAAGGAATTTAAAACAGTTAAAACACTTGAATCGATAACAGCAAATGAACACGGCAAACAGAAAAATGCACGACATCACCATTCGTGTTTTTACTCTCAATCCTCACCATGCAATTAGTAATAGAAATGTGCACGGCATCACCCTTCGTGCTTTTACTCTCAATCTTCACCATGCAATCAGTAATAGAAATGTGTACGACATCACCCTTCGTGCTTTATCTCTCTTCCTCATCGTATGTAGCAATATAAATGTAAATGTGCACGGCATCACCCTTCATGCTTTATCACTCTTTCTCATCATGTGCATAAGTATGAATGTGCATGGCATCACCCTTCGTGCTTTATCACTCTTTCCTGACCCAAACAGTAGAAACAATAATATCCCAGCAAGGGAATCAACAATAGAAACAAATACATCCCAGCAAGGGAATTAGCTATAACCAATCTCGTTTTAACAGTTAACTTCACAAAATAAATCTCAACTTAAGTCAATACTCAACAATGGTCAATTACCAAGAAAATATCATAAGTCTTGTTCAACATGGATAATCATCAATTTAAGCATGAATAGTACATAATAAGAATCACAACGGTCACAGTTTAAGACTCACTTGCATGCTCGACATCAACGTATAGATACTCGTTACCACACCTATACGTCGTACTCAACACTAACACATTGCAAAAAAGACCACAACTCCTATTCCATCAATCTAAGATTAGACCAAACACTTACCACGATTCCACGGCCACAAATCAAGCATCAATTACCGCTTTTCCTTTGATTTCCACGTCCAAACCGCCCGAATCTATGCATAATTAACTAATTAACATCAATTAACACTGAATAAACCAATTCTTATGCATGAGTATAGATTTCCCAATGTTTTCCCCAAAAAGTCAAAAACCGACCCCAGGCCTGCTTAGTGAAAACTCGAAGTTCGAACCAAAATCCGACTACCCATTCACCCATGAACTCAAATATGCAATTGGTTTTGAAATCCGAACTCAATTTGAGGTTCAAATCCCCAAATTTCAAAATTCCTAAATTCTACCCAAAAACACCCAATTTCCCATACAACCCCGTAGATTTTGAGATGAAATCATCTAAAAAGATGAAATAGATTGAAAACATGAGTTAGAAATCGTTTACCTATGATTTAGGGAAGAACCCTTCTTTGGAAAATCGTCTATGGGAGTTTAGGGTTTGAAAATTTGTGAAATGAGTTCAAAATCCCGTCCAAGTGATGTTTTGATCAGTTGTAGATGTCGCATTTGCAAATGCGAACCCGATGCAATATTTGCTTCTGTCGCAATTGCGAAGGTTGACTCCCTGTTGACTTCGTAAATGCGATGGAAATGTTCGCAATTGCGAACTGTGCTGGCCAAGGTTTTCTTCGCAATTGCGATCAAGCCCTCGCAATTGTCAAGCCTGTGAGGCTCGCAATTGTGAAGCCTGACCTCGCAATTACGAGATGAGAGCCTGCAACAAAATTCCAGATGCAGCAGAGATTATTCTAAATCTAAACTCACTCTGTGGCCTATCCAAAACTCACCCGAGCCCTCGGGGCTCCAAACCAAACATGCACACAAGTCTAAAAATATCATACGGACTTTTTCGTGCGATCTAATGGCAAAAAAAATATCTTAAACAATGAATTTAACACCAAAACTCATGAAATTCATAAGATAGTTCAAAATTTCTATTTCCTCAACCAAGGGTCCGATTTATATCAAATCTCTTCTGTTTTTCACCAAATTTCACAAATACGACTTAAATTCTATATCAAACTAGTACCGAACTCCGGAACCAAAATACGGGCTGATACCGACGATTTTAACCATTATTCAATTTCGAAAAATCCTTATATTTTCCAGCAAATAATTTTCTACAAAAATTTATTTCTCAGGCTAGGGACCTCAGAATTCGATTTCGGACATACTCCCAAGTCCCATATTTTACTATGGCCCCTACGGGACCGTCAAATTACGCCTCCGAGTCCATTTATCCAAAACATTGACCAAAGTCAACTTTAATCAATTTTAAAGGCAAATTTCCATATTTTTCTTAAGTTTCACATAACAGCTTTTCGGAAACGCGCCCGAACTGTGCACGCAAATTGAGAAGGAATAAAATGAGGTTTTCAAGGTTTCGAAACCCGAATTCGAATTCTAAAGTAAAAGATAACCCTTTTGATCATCACAATCAATGTATTATCCCTATCAAGAGGGTGGAGCTCACTTAAGAAGTCTGCAAGACATAAATAATGCTTTCACAGCGAAGGCATGGTGGAACCTAAGAACTAGAAACTCACTTTGGAAGGAGTTCATGGTAGCTAAATACTGTAAAAGAAAACATCCGATTGCAGCCCAATGGAGATCTGGACAATCAACCAGTCGGAAGGCCTTATGTGAAATAATAAAGAAAGTGGAGCAGAATATGGTTCCAAAAGAAGGAAATATATCCTTTTGTAGGGGCGGCTCAAGCATATACGGGGCCAAAAGCCATAGTTTAATATGAGACCTAATTTTTTTTTTAAAGTGACATAAGATATGTTTTTATTTGAAGTCTATTCTTCAAACTTTTTGAGATGCAAAATTGTTAATAAACTTTTTTATAATCGATTTTCTCTAATAGTTCATGTTCAATTGATAATATAACTAACTCATTTAATCTTTCTTGAGATATTGTTGTATTAGATAAAATTTTACAGAGCAATAGAAGTATAGAACTATTGAAAACTTAAAAATATTGCTGAACACTTGAACTAATGAAATTTTTAAACAATTCATTTGTTCATCGAGAGCCAATTACCCTCAGCGTGGTCCACCGTCTCTAGCATGGTTAAGTGCAAACGAGTCACCGGCGGGGTACTCTCAGACGAATTCTCCGACCAAATTTCCTATAAGGCCGGGTCCTTGTTTTACAATCTCCTATCGCGTTCCTCTTCAAACATATGACAGAAACAAAGTGAAAGAAGAGATATGTTGGGAATTTCATATGGAGAGCTATTTCTCTTGCTTGGCGCTATTGCTACTCTTATTGGACCTAAAGATTTGCCAATCATAGCAAGAACAACTGGCAGATTTGCTGGGCGTTCCATTGGTTATGTTCAATTGGCCCGTGGTCAATTTGAAAGTGTTATGCAGCAGTCTCAAGCTCGTCAGGTGCATAAGGAACTGCAAGATACCATTGCTCAACTGGAAGCCATACGTCATGAAATTCGAACTATCTCTTTTATGAATCCTGGTCCAATGACATCGAGGCTAGTAGACAGCATCAACACAGCAGCTGCAAATAACGTTGATGAAGCAAAAGGGTCTGACATTGTGTTAGAAGCGATACTGGAGGCAGAAGTGGAAAATAATGCCAAAGAGTTTTTCTCACAGCCACAAAACCAATTAAAAAGTGACTGAAGAGGTACATTTAAAGAAGATTTGCGCATTAGAAGGCAGAGATCAGCTTCATACCAAGTGAGCATGTCAGCTGTGGATGAAATATTTCCATGGAAAGACGGATGATTTAACCCCAGTTCGAGTATCTCTGACTTTGGTTTTTGAGTCTTCTATTTGGTCTGTTTTGATATCATGGGCATCTAAAGAACATAAGATCCGTGTTGCCGCTAGGCATCAAAGTCATATTGTTTGACAGATAGTAGTCGATAACATATACAAATAAGAAATTTCAGTGGACTTTGATTCTGGAGTTCTGCATATTTGTAACGATTTCTAAATTTTGTCTTTGGACCTACTTGTACGAGGAGAGGATACAAAAATGTTTTTGAAATAGACGTTTGACCCTCATTAATTGATCAATGATTTGATTGACCCGGAAAAAAAAAATGAAATCTTTAAAAAAAGGTGAATAATGAAATCTTGGAGAAAGAAAGTGAGTAGGAATATCAAAGAGAAAGACAGAAAATATATAGAATTTTCGGATATATGAAGAGATTAGAAAAAAGAAGAGTGACTTGGACAAATTAGGGAAGAGAGCAAAAATTTTAATAAAGGAGTAAAAAGTGGAAAATCGAAACATTGAAAAAAGTATTCATCTATCCATTTTTAAGTAAGTCAAATTATTACCTCATTTATTTATCTAAAAAGTTTTCTTTTCTTTTATATTAAAAACTCTACTTTTATATTAAAAATATTACTCCATCTGTTCCAATTTATGTGAACCTATTTCCTTTTTGGTTCGTTCTAAAAAGAATGAACCCTTTCTAAATTTGGTAACAATTTAGCTTAAACTTACAACTGTATGCTTAATAAGAAACTTTTATAACCACACAAATTCTCTGGGGCACATTTAGACTTGTTTAGGACCATGTTAACGGAGGGAGTAAATATTATTTTCTAAATACTTACAAACTTATTATTTTTAAAAAATGGGCACTATGGAGCCGGCCCTGTCCTTTTGGTATGATAATTGGACAAAACAAGGAGCCCTCGACATCTATCTTCAAGACGGAGTGAAGCCAAAGAATGTCCTATTGAAGGATATCCTAATTGAAGGAAATTGGATTTATGACAAAACTGAAGTAGAAGCTCCTGACTCAGTTATAACTATAGTGGCCTACCAACACTTAGGCTCTATTTCCAGGTTTGCCGGACAAATTGATATGTCTGCTAGTGCAGCTGGAAATTTTTCAATGGCATCGGCATGGGAATGCCTTAGACACAAGAAAGAACACATGATCATAAATACAAAAATATGGCACTAGTATGTACCTTTCAAGATGGCGTTTATGACAGGAGGGCCCTAAATGGTAGAGTACCAACGGATGATAGAGTTGCAAAATTTGGGTACAACCTTCAAGCTGGATGCTTTTGTTGTTCTCCCCCCGTAGATGAGTTAGAAACCTCCAGGAAGGCATGCCCAAATAGTATGGAAAAGGTTCGCAAGCCCTTTTGGCATATCAGTGGATGGCCTGCAACTTAGTCAATTGATAGACAAATGGTGGAACCATAGGAATGTTAATATTATTGCTTCATTCATGTCTAAAGTACTCCCTGCAATGATTATGGGAGTTATGGAGATCAAGGTGTGCAGCCAGGTATGGAAATGAACTCCCTTCAGTCCGTAGATCAGAGATTAGTATATCAAACAACCTTTCGGAATTGATCAAAGAAAGATTCAGGAAAGTGAACTTTAAACCTTCATGGGAACATATACAGATGGTGATTGACCAACCAATAAATTATAGGGCATACAAAATGGTAAAATGGAAGAAATCTCCGGATTACATAGTCAAAATCAACAGCGATAGAAGCTGTGTGGGGACACTGCGGTGTAGGAGGTGTCATAAGAGATTGCACTGGAAAATTCATATTGGCATACTCTATCTTCATTGGACCAGGAACAAGCAATTGGGCAGAAAGCATGGCGATGCTAATCGGACTCCAACAATGCTTACAACATGGGATGTATAGTATAATAGTAGAATCTGATTCTAAACTAGTAACTGGGAGTGTGACAGAGGAAATAACACCTCCATGGAGGATACTACAGATTGTTGAAGAAATAAAAAAGATAGTCGATGAAAGGGAAGTAACAGTTCAACATTGCTTCAGAGAAGTAAATAAGGTAGCAGACAAACTAGCATCATTGAGCCACACACATCGGCAGCAACATATCTACACAAGGTAGCAGACAAACTAGCATCAGGGGAATGATGCAACTAGACAAGTGGGAACTAGCATCTTTTCGGATCATGCAATTGAAGGCACCTGAAATTTGCTATGATCCACCATGAACAGATAGAGATGCAGTTGAACTGCTTTTTCCTTTAGTCTCACAATGAACGATAATTAGACACCATAGATTGAGGATTAAAGTACTAACCTCACAAATTCAACTGGAGGGTAAGGTATTAAGTCCCCTCCTCCACATTACTATCTCGCCAAGCAATAAAACAATGCTCCGTTCTGATTTTTTTTTTAAAAAACAGTCTTACGAGATTGATGGAACTAGTTATGAAATAGGACTAAGCAACAAAGATTGCTTACTGGTATTATAGATGCCTTCTTGATAAAACTATTATTTTTATGCACAAGACCTAAAGGCTAGTAGATAAATCGGAACGTGATTCTTCTTTTGATTTGTGTTCTGCCAATTTAATCTATTTTCTTACTTTTCATTTCATTTTCATGCTATTTGAATAGAAAAAAATCATATAAAAAGAAAAGTTCTATTATCTGATGGGATAAATATATCAAAATACTTAAACACATGTATCTAACCTCTCTCTGTCTATATATATATATATATATATATACATATTTGGGAGGCAAATATAGGAATAACATAGAGAAAAATTATTGGAGAAAGAATCCCTCAATAATCATGTGACAAAGAATCCTTTCTTTTACTGGGAATGTGTTTATTCTTCTCGTCATTCTTATTTTGTTTTCAATTCTTTTCTTCAGATTATCACATCTAACATCTCCTATTAATTTGGTATGAGAAAATGCCGAATTTGAAGGTTCCTTCTTGCTTATTTATCTACTAGTTTCTCGGCATGCCAAGTCATGTATTCGTAAAATAATATTAAAAAAATAGTTGAGTAAACAATTACACATAAAAACAATAAGATTTTTGAATAGTTTGAATATCTATTACCTTGTAAACTAAGTAAGTTTTGGATACCAAGAACTGAAAGAACGGGAAGAGAAAAAATGAATTACTAAATTTAGGAATCGAAAAGAATGAACCAAGAAATTTCCAGCAATTCGCACAAAACAGAAGTACATGTATGTTCCATTATGATTCTTGACTGCTACTCTCAATAGCCACAAAAAATTAATTAGCAAAATCCCGTTGTATCAAGCACGCAAGTGAAGAAAGAAATGAATATTTGGAGTGATAAAAAATGTAATGTTTAATTAACTTACAATTTTGATAGTTAATGAGAATTATAAAACGTTGAGAGCTGTTTGTAGGCATTTGGAACAGTGGCAACTCTAAGCAACTTAGAAACAACATTTCTTAACAATAGACCATGAAGCGTTGCCTTCTTCCTAGGTGTTAGTTTTTTATTTTATTAAATAGGATATTTAGTTTAATTAATATAATACATTTATGTTATTTAAAAGGGTAATTAATGGGAGAAAAAAAATAAGTATCACAAAGAAGGGAAAGGGAGGGGGAAGGAGGAGACATAAAATAGGAGTTATAATGAAAATGAGGATTGGGGAATTTTACAAAGGGAAACCTGAGAAACATAACGCAAAAGAAGAAAAATAGAGGAATTTTAGGAGAATAGGTTATTAATATATTTTATTTAGTAGATAAGAGAATTGATTATCATTTTAAATTGGTAACATACGATTTTCTTAACGGATGAGACAGAGAAGACATAATGACAAATAGAACCCAAAAATTAAGACATAATGACAAATAGAACCCAAAAATTTTACTGAGTACATATGTTCTTTTTTACTGCATTTACTTTAGCAATAGAATCATTTAGTAGTAGGATTCCAGCCACGTTCATTGTAACTTAGATTTATCATTTAATAGTTGGGAAAGAAATAATTTAACAAAAACATAATTTTATAGGAGTAGTGTTTAGTGAAGGGTAAAATGGTCTATCAGCTTTTGAAGGATATTTTAGTAAACTAACTTCACCTAAAAGTGTTCATGCTTATAAAATTAGGAGTTATAATGAAAATGAGGATGAAGAAATTTTACAAAAGAAAACCTGAGAAACATAACATAAAAGAAGAAAAATAGAGGAATTTTAGGAGAATAGGTTAATAATATATTTTGCTTAGTAGATAAGAGAATTGATTATCATTTTAAATTGGTAACATGCGAATTTCTTAACGGATGAGATAGAGAAGACATAATTACAAATAGAATCCAAAAATCTTACTGAATACATATGTTCTTTTTTACTGCATTTACTTTAGCAATAGCATCATTTAGTAGTAGGATTCCAGCCACGTTCATTGTAACGTAGATTTATCATTTAATAGTTGGGAAAAAATAGTTTAACAAAAATATAATTTTATAGGAGTAATGTTTAGTGAAGGGTAAAATGGTCTTTCAGCTTTTGAAGGACATTTTAGTAAACTAACTTGACATAAATGTGCTCATGCTTATAATATAGTATGATGATCAATTTATTTTATTCATTTTAATTTGAGATATAATGATCTATTCTATTTCCCTTTAATATTATTTTGGCATGCAGCTACAATTTTTTATTATTCTTTGTTTATTTTACTTCTTATTATGCAGTCATTACGTAAATATTAGATGTATACGGTCTAAATCGGCGAGCTCGATTTCAAAGATTTGATCGTACTCCGAGCTCGAGTTCGGAAGCTCGAAGTAAGAATCGAGCCCAGCCGGGATGTGCGCGCCTCGAGAAGCAAATCGTAGACCAGTCATGATCTGCCTCGAGGACAATATAATTTCGATGACACTCAAGAAAGAGCGAGAATTTCTCAAGGACACGTGAATCAGGGCATAACTTAAGGGATAAGATTTGTGCGGAATAGTATGAGT